TCCAAGTGCCACTGTTTAGATGCACCTGGGCCAACACAGGTAATGGTGTGAAGGAAGAAGATGGCTTCACTCTTGTTAACCTTCACATGAACCAAGCAGCCTATTTGAAAGATCCTTTCATTCTACCATCTCAAGCCAAACAGGTTTTCTACTCTAGGGAAGATGATAATTCGAATTGGTATGTTGTGATGAGAGCTCCACCTAGAGGTTACCATGAGTTGGAAACAAAAGAGGATTTAGGTGGTGCAACTTTTCCTATACAAGATGTCGATGACTTGGCTGGTGAAGCTTCTGATGATGAGAGTCTTTATGTTAGGGATGATTGTGAAGGGTTGTTAGTGGTAGATTGATAGTATTTGGAAGTGTTGTGGTTTGATGGTTTATGTAAAAGAGGATATGTTTTGTTTGTTAAAACATATTTTAGCTTTAATAATATCACTAATTATGTTTATTACAAATGTTTGAAATAAATATTAAATTTTCAAAAATAAAACCAAATCGTAATTAATTTTAATAAATTTCTGATATTAAAGAACAGATTAATAACACGAAACATTTGCTATCTTTGTATACGTAAAATCAAAATAATTAGTTTTAATAACGGTTTTACAGCCTTATTATAAGTATTAACAATTGCATAGACAACACCGCTATTGTTGTTTATTTTAATATAGCATACGACTGTTCCGCTATCGAAAGTGTCGGACTTATTATGACGGACGATCTCAGAGCGTTTTAAAGAGTGCTATGGTAGCGATCTCATAGCATTTAACGTCCGCTAATAAAACCCATATTTCTTGTAGTGATGTAGTATTATTTGTTTAGTAAACCGTCTTATATTATTAGTTTATGTCTAGGCAAGTTGCTGATCTTTGGCTATATAAAGCCCTCCATGTAATCTGATTTAAACTAAGGAGTATTGAACCTCCTCTTTTACTTATTCTCTGGTTCATAGTCTCTCAAACTCTCATTCACTCTGAAGTGACAATTTAACTCTTTCCTTTACTAAATCTCTAGTTACTTTACTCTTTTAAATCTCTCTAATCTCTTACCCTCTATTATCACTTAATCTCATAAACTCACCCATTATTTATTGCCTAAGACTCTCTTTGATTTGCAGTCTCTTTGATTCAGACTAAATCAGAAACTGATTATCTTCACCAAACTCATTCTCCATTTCATTCTCACCATTTTCTTTTTATTCTTACACTATACAAGTAGATCCCCCTCCATGGCCTTTATCTAGGACATCAAATAATCATCGCTTTCTAATCCATTTGAATAATCCTTATCAATCTCTTGTGTTCTTTTCTTCTCTCTCTTTGCTACTATATACTTGCACACTCGATCTAAAGTGGCGTCTTCTTCAGCCAACTTCTCTTGTATGAATAGACACATTTTGAAAGTTTCGCAAGAGTCTTGGTTTAACATGTCTAACACCAAGCATATGCCTTCCCTTAAATGGCTGAGAGCTTTAGCAAACTCAATCGCTTGCATTTCAATAAAAAGAGATATAGGATCGGCAGAACTTTTTAATAACACTAGATTGGTATTGAACCTTTTAAATACTCCTTATCAATCTCTTGTGTTCTTTTATTCTCTCTCTTTGCTACTATATATAGAGATGTCAAACAAGCCGTCCCATCCCATCCCGGACCGCAGCGGGCTCTATTTTTCGCAGGCTGCAGCATTTCTGTCCCGCGCGGGCTGCTGTCTTTGAAAGGTCGTCCCAATCCCATCCCGCAAATATACACAGTCTCTTACAAATTGTCCCGCGGGCTGGACGCCGATGTAGTCGATCATAGATGTTTTTGACGTAGGAGGCTATTCCATGATGATTAAGGCTGCTCCACTACATACCTAAGCACACAAAATGAATTCATCATGAAGCAGCTACTATTGAAGCTCAAAAGAATTTGTTATATCATAATCAAACTTAAAGTGCATGTTGAAAATGAGAAAAGTTCTTGTAACAAGTGCATGTATAAATTGAGTTTCTTAATATGATTATATATATAGAGTTATAAATTGTAATTATTTTGTCACACCCAAAACATATTAACATACAAAGTAAAGATAATTGCAAAAGATATATTTCATTATCTTATAGTTCATAACCAATTTTTTTTTAATTTGTTGAATCCAAAAATTAAATAAAAAAATACTACATCAAAACTGCCAATCCAAAATTCAACAAAAAGAGAAAACCAAATCAAAAGATTGTCAAAGCTCGAATCATCATCGGCGGAGCTGGAGTCGTCATCATCGGAGCTCGAATCATCATCACCGAATGTCAAATCCTCATCCCTGCAGCTCCTTACATTTTCTTAAAGGAAATCACATGAACCGTCTTCTTCTCACTCTATTTCTCGTTTTTTCCAAATAAAAAAAAAATGAAGAAAAATATTGCGGGTCTTTGTAATTCTGCATGACCCGTTTTGACCCATCCCGCAAAAGACCCAGTCTCGCAAAGACTCGTCTTGTGAGTCCCACAAATTTGTGGGCTTAGAAAACCTCGTCACAATATCGTCCCGCGACAGTCCTTTACGAGCCAGACTCACGATCCAGGTCCAAAGCTGCCATCTCTAACTATATACTTGCACACTTGATCTAAAGTGGCGTCTTCTCGAGACAACTTCTTCTCTTGTCTGAATCCAACACATTTTGCAAGTTCCACAAGAGTCTTGGTTTGGCAGTTTTGATGTAGTATTTTTTTTATTTAATTTTTGGATTCAACAAATTAAAAAAATTGGTTATGAACTATAAGATAATGAAATATATCTTTTGCAATTATCTTTACTTTGTATGTTAATATGTTTTGGGTGTGAATTCGTATTTCACCGTTCCAAGTGATTACGCTATTGGAGCTGGAATTACCGCGGCTGCTGGCACCAGAATTGCCCTCCAATGGATCCTCGTTAAGGGATTTAGATTATACTCATTCCAATTACCAGACTCAAAGAGCCCGGTATTGTTATTTATTGTCACTACCTCCCCATATCAGGATTGGGTAATTTGCGCGCCTGCTGCCTTCCTTGGATGTGGTAGCCGTTTCTCAGGCTCCCTCTCCGGAATCGAACCCTAATTCTCCGTCACCCGTTACCACCATGGTAGGCCACTATCCTACCATCGAAAGTTGATAGGGCAGAAATTTGAATGATGCGTCGCCAGCACAAAGGCCATGCGATCCGTCGAGNCTAATTCTCCGTCACCCGTTACCACCATGGTAGGCCACTATCCTACCATCGAAAGTTGATAGGGCAGAAATTTGAATGATGCGTCGCCAGCACAAAGGCCATGCGATCCGTCGAGTTATCATGAATCATCAGAGCAACGGGCAGAGCCCGCGTCGACCTTTTATCTAATAAATGCATCCTTTCTAGAATTCGGGGTTTGTTGCACGTATTAGCTCTAGAATTACTACGGTTATCCGAGTAGTAGTTACCATCAAACAAACTATAACTGATTTAATGAGCCATTCGCAGTTTCACAGTCTGAATTCGTTCATACTTACACATACATGGCTTAATCTTTGAGACAAGCATATGACTAATGGCAGGATCAACCAGGTAGCATTCATAAATCACGGCACAACAACATCATATTCCCGCAATCACTAGGAAAGTTGGAACATATCCCGCAATCACTAGTAAAGGTGGAACATATCCCATAATCACAAGGAACATTGGAACATATCCCGCAATCACTAGGAACGTTGGAACATATCCCGCAATCACTAGGAACGTTGGAACATATCCCACACCCAAAACATATTAACATACAAAGTAAAGATAATTGCAAAAGATATATTTCATTATCTTATAGTTCATAACCAATTTTTTTTTAATTTGTTGAATCCAAAAATTAAATAAAAAAAATACTACATCAAAACTGCCAATCCAAAATTCAACAAAAAGAGAAAACCAAATCAAAAGACTGTCAAAGCTCGAATCATCATCACCGGAGCTGGAGTCGTCATCGTCGGAGCTCGAATCGTCATCACCGAAGGTCAAATCCTCATCCCTGCAGCTCCTTACATTTTCTTAAAGGAAATCACATGAACCGTCTTCTTCTCACTCTATTTCTCGTTTTTTCCAAATAAAAAAAATGAAGAAAAATATTGCGGGTCTTTGTAATTCTGCATGACCCGTTTTGACCCATCCCGAAAAAGACCCAATCTCGCAAAGACTCGTCTTGTGAGTCCCATAAATTTGTGGGCTTAGAAAACCTCGTCACAATATCGTCCCGCGACAGTCCTTTACGAGCCAGACTCACGATCCAGGTCCAAAGCTGCCATCTCTAACGATATACTTGCACACTTGATCTAAAGTGGCGTCTTCTTCAGACAACTTCTTCTCTTGTCTGAATCCAACACATTTTGCAAGTTCCACAAGAGTCTTGGTTTAACATGTCTAACACCAAACATATGTCTTCTCCTAAATGGTCGAGGGTTGTAGCAAACTCAATCGCTTGCATTTCAATAAAAAGAGATATAGGATCGGCAGAACTTTTTACTAACACTAGAGTGGTATTGAACCTTTTAAACACTTCTTGCAAACTCTAGATCGTTTTTTATTCTCAATTTGTTATTTCCTTTTATATTATTGTTTCATAAATTTTGTTTTCCAAGAATTTAAATTCAAGAAATCAAACATGTCTTTTTCCAAAAAAAAAAGGAAAATTATTTTTAACGACCTTTAGTTAATTCTCCTTTTAATTTTCAAATTTGTTTGTAAAGATAAACCTTGAACATACTTTTTAACTTTGATAATTTCTTAGATAAACCTTAAATCAGATTTAATGATTGTCCTAGAGAAAAAATTGGAAACTTTAAAAAACCGAGAAAAGTAAAACTGGGGGAAGCTTGGTTACCAAGTAAGTAAAAACATAACAATGCCCTATAAGGAGGCTAAAATCTTTAGCCTTTACTTATAAATTCACATCACACTGGTCTCTAATAATTAGCATTATCTCCTCTTTCGTTTGTTTTAGTCGTAACTATGTCGAGAAAGGGAGAGAAAAACAGAAAGAGTATGTATTACGATGATCATCTTGCGGCTGCGGAAAAAGAGATAAGCTCGAGAAATTTCTGTAATTTGGTTGATGCGGCCGTCATATTATATGTAGAAGAAAAAGAAGCAGACCGTATATTAAAATCCAGCTGCAACACAAAGACAGAGACTCTGTCTGAAAAAGAAAAAGACATCGACTATATATTCTTCAATGTCTTCCCAAGAAAAAGAAGAAGTCCGTCAAAGAAATTTGGCCGAGTACAAAGCTATGAAACCCTTAATAAAGCTTCTACCTCTTCACCGCTTTTCGACCTTAACAAGACCCCAGATGATTCTGAGACAGAAGCCCCATCGAACCCTCTTCCATGTTTTTATGTATCTTCTCCTCAATCGTTTCTCACTGCTCATCCTTCTTCTTCAACCTTAACAGAGGAGTCAAGCCGCAAGAGACGTGCCCCGCAAGAAAGAAAGCGTATTACTGGTGGTAAATCCAAGAAAGTTAGGGTTCCTCCTTTTTCATGGAAAGGGAGAGCTACTCCAGAGTGGTTGGTCAGTTTATTGGAAGTAATGGCAGCAACCACAGGACACCTTGTAAACGAAGGCCCTTGGCTCATCTTTGAGAAGAAGCTGACCAGTACAGATGTCGACCCAGCACAGAGCCGTCTCTTGATGCCGTTCAACAGCCTAATCCGTAACGACTTCTTGACACCCGTGGAGTTGAGAATCGTAGCAGAAGAAGATGAGAAGAACGGAGTTGGGGCGATGCTAGTGGATCAACAGAAGAAAAAGTGGGGTTTGATTTTGATGAGACGGGAGATGATAAAAGGAGCAGGGAATGGAACCTCGAACTATGCTTTAATTTGTGGGTGGAACGATGTCGTTCAAGATAATGGTTTGAAAGAAGATGACGACATCAGTGTTTGGTACTTCAGGTGGCGTGAGCGTCTCTGCTTTGCCCTTGTTCTTCCACCTCCTGACATGGCACAAAGTAGCTCATCTCCTGTTCTCTGTGTCTGAAAAGTTTCTTATGTCTGTTGTTGATTGATCTATTCACTGTGGTCTAATTTCAGGAGATTCTTGAGTTTTTTTTTGTCACTAGGAGTGTGATCTGTTGTTTTCAATCTTTGCTATTATATGAAGTTAACATTTTAACAAGAATATGGTTTCTTAATTTCTCTGCTTTAGTTACTTCATTGATTAATTTTCATTCACTGCACGCAGTTCCCAATGGACTCGTTCTTGATGCAGTAATTTTTTTTCTTGTTGCTGCTATATCTGATGGGTTTTTTGACCACTGGAGACAAGCTTTCTCTTGTACCCCATATTGATAATCGAGTTTTCTTGTCTGGAGAAGTAGGGTTCTCATATGCATCTTTGGGAGGTATCTGTTGGGACCATTGCGTGTCTCCTAATGTCCGCTAATTAACCCCTTAACTATGGTTAAACAACCTATTTAACCATGTTGAAAGGTGACTTTTTCTTAATTTTCATTACGGTGAGCTTATTATCCCCTTTCAAATGACATTTTCTTACCTTTCTAGAACTTTATAAGGTTTAACCAGTAGGATAACGAGTTCACGGTATCATTCCAATTCTACTTCTGGAGGTTTCTAATTTAGTCCGGATGAGGATGAGAACTCGCTCCAAAACAAATCTCAACACTACAAGAAAATCGAGTATTAATAACAACGGGAAAACGCTATGTAACGATATAATAGCGGTATTAGGTACGCTGTTTCATCGGCCGCGATAATAGGTCAAACACATTAGATAGCGGTTTTCTACATTGCTACCGTAATATGTTTTATATAGCACTTTTTTGCATGCAATTAAATCTTCTTTAATAGCAATTTTTGT